GGGGGTGTGCCTGGAATTTTCGTTAATAGCTCTAAAAAGCTTGTAGCAGAACGGTAAAAGCCACGGACGTATAGCATACTGACATGGCCACCTGGAAATAGCTGTGGTCTGCCATATGTCGGTGGCAAGGAAAGGGTTAAGGGAAGATTAAAAAGACAGTGACTATGACAGTTGTACAGAAAGATTGCAAGACCTATTTAACTCCTTGCTTTTGTACATGTTCTGTCAATCACTGGCAGCTAATAATGGGATAAGCACATACATCAAAGACATGACATCTGTTTGCAGTAGACAAACATGCACATTGTAAGAATTTGTACTTTCATTGTGACTGCTAGCTCTTTGGGCAATGAACCATTTTTGCTGTCTTTTTGGCTTTGTCTTTAATTTTATTTTGTTGATTGGCTTTCATTTCAGTGGTGGTATTTTGGTGGTTTCATTTCGTTTGAGGGTTTCTTGCTTTTTCTTGATTTGTATTTTGTTGATAAGAGCTTTTTTCATTGTGGAGTGCTCGAAGTGCAGCATACTTTTTAAAGCCAATCTGTTTTTATAGCTGCCTATTCTTTGCAGCAAACTACAGCATCATTCAAAAAATAGTAAAACCCCAGCCTGTGCTCTTTGTCTCTAGTAAATTGAGCGTAACCTTGCTACTTCAATTGTCCTGCTGCTGCACAATTTTACATTGCTGTGTCATCTGCAGTCACTTAATTCATGGAGTAAAACACCAGACTGTACACTTTGGAGTTGACTTACTAAAGGCAAATAGACTGTGCACTTTGCAAGGAAATTTTCCATTAGCTTTATAAATGTAGTGACTTCCATCATCCAAATAATGTGCAAGCAAAAATACTGTTTTTTAATTTTTCCTTGCAAAATGATTGATCACTCATCGCAAAGCAAATTTTCACCACATTCCCTTTAAAGTGAACAGCCTATTTTTGCTGGCCAATTTTACACTGCTGCATCCTCTGCAGTATCTTACTTATTGTAGTAAAGCTCCAGCTTGTGCTCTTTGTCACTAGTGAATTTGGGCCTAGCCTTACTATATCAAATTTTCCTGCTGCTGGCCAATTTTACACTGCTGTGTCAGCTACGGTCTCTTAACTTCTCTCTCAATAAAAATGTCCTGCTACTGGCCAATTTTACACTGTTGCACCATCTGGGGACCCATTCTTCATGAGTTTTTTAGAAATTCTCCAATGGCAGGACACTTTTGCATTAGCAAGTACAGGGACAATATCATCAAACTACAGGCCAATTTCTGTCTGCTGATCAAAGTGGGCTTTTCTGACTGCAGCAGTGTCCAAAGCAGCTACATTGTACATCACTAAGGGGTCCCTGGACCACTCTGGCAAAACAAATGGCAAACGCAGTCATCAATTTGTTACCAGCTTTACAGCAAGGTGCACATGGAAGGGCCTTATACAGTAAAGCAGCAAAAAGTGTTCCCAGCACACTCACCAGCCAGCATGCAAAAAAACTTGTCTCACCTGGACCACTCTAGTGACGTATATTAATAGTGTACAGGTATTTATATAGTGCCATAAGCTTATAGTGCCTGCCTTCAAGGAGCTTACAATCTGAGGTCCCTATCTCATAAGCACACATATACTAGGGTCAATTTACACAGAGCTAACAAGATTTGCCTCCCATAGTCTTTAAAGTAGGAATCAACAAACCCTCCTTGAACTGAACCTGGGAACATTTGCCAAACATATTAAACCATATTGTAGGAAAGGAGAAAATTCACTAGAAAAAGAGTGTACTTAAATAAACACAAACATTTTTTAGTTTTGAATAGTGTGTGGAAGGGCTAGAACCTTTATAAGGTTTTTATTGCTGTCTGTGTTCCTGCTGCAGAGTTTTACTCTCTATTTGTTCCGAGGACAGAAAATGATAGAGAATCCTACAGTTTGGGGCTGCCTGAGTTAGTGAAGATAAATCTTCCAATAGGAATACCTATTCCTGTGACAACTGACCAAGAGGGGATCTTCCTCTAACTTTGCAGAGATGTCCACTCATTTCCTGTTGAGTCTTCAGGACAGAATGTAAAGGGAAATCTTAAGAAATTGAACTAAAGCAGTAAGAAAAAAAAAAAATTGTCTTTAGATGTATAGATGACAAGCACACTCAAAAATGTGTAAGGTAATAGGGCACTAAATAAGGCTGAGGACAGTCATTCCAACTCTGCCTTTAGGGAACTCAGATGCTTTATGTATTTTAGAACAATCATAAACCAAGATTGTTACCAGTAACTTCCTGCAATTTACTATTTCACCTGTGATTCTGGTAGGAGATGTGGGAAAGATAAATCTGAACAGAAGAAACATATTCAGAAATATGCTCCACTTGTGCTATAGACAACAGATGGAAATACATGAGGTTCACAAGATGCTGCAACCCTTTCCCACAGCACAGTTTTTAGAACATTACATCATGTGTACTATAAAGAATAAAAAGCATAAATGTCTGGCATGGA